ATGCAAACTTCGAGATACATAAAAGAATTATTTATATTATATAGAGACAAACATTTAAAAAATACTACTGCATTTATGTTGTGCATTAGAATCAATATATTTTCTTTTGTTTATTCTAGTTAATTACTTTTTGTCTTATAACTGATTTACTTTTATACTTGTATTAAATTTAAAAAGTGAGGATAAGATAATTATTCGCCCAGAGAAAAAGACTAAAAAGTTTGACATTTTAATTAATTTTCCGCTTCGTTGTACGAAAATGTTTCATCTCGTTTTCGCGAGAAAGCGCGTCAATTTACAGTCGTGCGGCCATATATACATCACCGGTCTTTTAACAGAATCTTGCTTCAAGATAATACGAGAAACTGAGTACGACGTGGCCCGGAGAACGATTGCGGCCGAACGTAACTTCCGCCGAGCGCTATCTCGGTACTCCACACCTCTACTTTATTAGGTATATGTATATACCTAGCGAAGTGCGCGCGGTATGTTTCGAGCTCACATAGAGGATACGCATACGGTGGCGTGTTAAGTAAACGGATACATTATATGCTGGACCCTCTCGTACGCGCATCTCGCCGTAAGTGAAATAGATCGAGGGTGTGTTACTGGTGCGTGCTAAAGTCTTCGGGCATCGCGAAATAACTCGAGTAGCCCTGATAATCGAGTATTTATTGGCTGAGATTCCATTGATATTTACTCCTTGCATGTGTCTTTCTTGAGTGAATGATGAGAGATCATTTTCGTATGCATATTTTTTCACAACTTACATATTCCAGTCGAAATTTTGTCCCTATTTTTACTCCCTATTTTTTTCACAGATTTTGATAGATTTTATTTATATAAAAATTGTATTGAATTGTGGTACATTGGGTTTCTTTTGAATCTTACATAGGCAGTAAACGAACAGCTTTCCAATTAGAAATTTAAAAGAAATTTTCAGGAAAATTATAGATTAAATATATTTTCGAAATATGGTGTGATCTGATTGCTTAAATTATATCAAAGTAGATGCTAGTTTAAACATTGAACTTAAAAACAAAAGAAAAATTATAATCTCGGATACATATAAGACGAACAATCATTTGAGATTTTTAATCTCAATATTAATCAACTTTTTATATGGGAATAACTGCACTGAAAAAAAATGTATTGAGTTTGAATAAATATTTATTTTAATACTGCCTAATAAATCATTTATTTGAAACTAATAATATTGATTTGATGTGAAAAATATTTCTTTAATATAAGAAAATCCTTTTCAAATCAGATAAATAATTATTTGTTTTAAATAAATGATTGTGTGTGTGTGTGTGTGTGATTAGGCAGTATTGAAATAAATATTGATTAATTTCATAATTTTTTTTCAGTCTGCAGAATTTTTTTCTAGAATATAATTTCGCAATGACGATTGAAATTAATGTATTATTTTATTATTATTAGATCATTATTCTCACAGTTAACACTTAATATGTTTTTTAACATAATCTACTGTGACGTCTTTCTACTTTTTTCGTGGAATAACGTTCATTGTATCACGAAACTCGTCTCAGAGATCTCGATTTGCATTTTTATATGAAAGATTATATTTTATTGAAATTAAATTGGATTTACAAAAGCGCGCGCACGATCAATCGTGATATACGTATGTATCGAATTACGAGCGGATTATCGTTGGACGAGGATCAACGCTCTGCCGGGATGCACGATAATTATTTCTGCGTTAGCCATAATTATTGCCGGGATGGCAATTAATTCTTGCCGGAGCGGCAATTAATTTATTGTGGCTTGATTAATTACCGCATGGTAGGCGGGCGAGACAGTTCGTTACTGCAGCTGATTGCCCTTTTGCTACGCAATAAGGTCCAAACTTGGGAACGCCTCTTTTTCGGAAAAAATTAGGAGACACTGTGCGATTTGCTTGATGTATGTAGATCTATCTAAAATGAATAGGTAATTGTTCTATTACAGTAAAACGCATCATTTTTATTGTTAATATACATCGGAAAAAAATTAGCTACTGTAGCTTTTTAGCTGTCCCTATATTACACATGAAATTTAGTTCTCATGCCTAAATTTTAGCTATGATAGCTAATATTTTTTAGCTATAGAATTCTTCGTTAAACTAAAGCTAAAAAGTATTAGTTATACCATAGCTAAAATTCAGGTATGTTAACTAAATTTCAGGTTGCAATATAAGGACAGCTAAAATTTAGCTATGGCAACTAATTTTTTTTCCGTGTACATAATTATCTAATAAAAGCAAATTATATGTTAAAGATGTTTTATCTTATCGAATATTTTTTATCGAAACCCAATGAGAAATGATTGGCCGAATCGATATCATTCGACGAATTTGACATCGATTCGACCATCATTTCTCACTGGGAAGGTACATTATAATATTAGCTTTTAATTTAAAAAACGTGTATAAAATATTATTTATACGGGTTTTTAATACACATAGGTATAGTGCGTATAATTCCGGCGCAATTTTCTGTCAAAATTGTGTGTCTTAAAAATATTACTGCTTATTTTTCTTTCTTGTCAAGCAGTATCATGGGCTTTTAACTTTGTACGATAAAAGTGTCTGGAACTTACTTGTTAATGTTCGACCAATCATTTGTTAAAAATAATTAAAGCGGAAGCTGTTTTCGTATAATGTTCTTCTCTTGTCGGATAATTTCGAAAACCGGTCGTTCGGTGATTGGCGCGTTTTTCTTTCGTTATCAAGGGATCAAACGATAAATGACGGTCACGTTTCGGCTTGCGGATGAGATATTACGTAGAGTTTTCACTTTTCATCAAGGAGCATTCCATTTGCGACGATCGACCGGCATTTTGGTCAGATTCATCTCATAAGACGAATGGCGCTGTTTGAGAAACATGATTTGTTCCGTTTCGAGATCATTATGCCCCGAAACATTTCCAATTTCTCAAGATCAGCCAGGTAGATTTCTGCTTTCGTCACGCTGGTTTAGATTTTTTCGCGAATAATCGCATACATTATTAATATTATAATCGAAAAAAACACTTCTTTATTGGTTAAACGACAAATGATTTATAAATTTTTAAATTAATATGTTAGTTAAAAAATTTAATAAATAATATAAATTATAAAACAGATATACAAAATTCTTTGAATTAACTTTGAGATACAAGTTATAAGATCGTTTTTAATTAATTAGCTCATATCGTCATCATTATTAAAAGGGATAATATTTTTAAAAAATTTCTTGTATATGTGAAATTTATTTAGTGTTTTGTTTATAATGCACTTATATGAAATATACGAACGTCATAGATAGAACATGTTAGAGAGAACACAATCTTCTTCTATTATTTATTGGAAACCTTGATACACTCGAGCTTAATCATAAATATTATGAGTGTCACGATACAAGACTATATTTACAGATAATTAATCGTGTAGTTGAATCCTGATGCACTTGGCTTGACGCTCGAAAGACAGAAGGGAGAAACAAAGGGATCGGGATTAATGTGGAGCAATGAAAAGATGCTTTAAGATTAAATTGTACGAACGTGCGTGTAGAGGGGAACAACCAGGAGGGGAAGTTAATATTTTACCAGGTAGCGAAAAGATTGCGCGGCGAGATCAGCGAATTTCTGAATAAATATTAAAACGAGAGAATTCTCTGATGAGTTCTCTGAATTAGCTACGACTCTTTGGTTCGCCTCACTCATGTATATAGTTTCGGGGTAGTTTCGTAAAATATTATTTAATCCTCGCTGGCCGTACGCCCGATATGCAATTGCATATAATTTTATTGGTTTCTTTCTTTTCTTCGTATTATTTATCGAAACTTCGCATCTTCGATGTTATGTATATCGTGTGTATAAAGTATGAACTTTATGATATATTTTTCGTTTGTTATATAAAGATATTTAATTATAACTTAGCACATTATTCACGAACATTCAGGAACAATTTGGATCGGATAATTTAATTTTCGCTCCTATCAGATTAAATATAATGAGTATAATGGTGATGACATGAAATTGTTTGATTTTTAAGAATCATGAAATAGGCACTTTTCATGCAACAACATTATTTCTTAATTATATATTTCTCTGCATTTTATGCAGATACTGTGCTCATGTGAATTCTTATAAACATTATTATTATTGGTACATAAAATAGATCTTATTTCTTATTTATTTTAATTTCTTTCATAATTCTTTATTATATTTTTCATTAATGTTTGATTGATATTAATTTGATATTGTTTTTGTGTATATATATATATATATATATATATATATATATATATATTCATTTTACTAAGTTCTATTATAAAAAAATATATTTTTATGTTCTTTCATTCATTAATTCAGTCGTATTGAATGATCGAATTGTTAGCGAGATAATCAATTTCCACGTTCCTGAATATGGTGACTAATGCCACATAGATAGACATATAATTAGTAAATCTTATCAACGGCAATTAAGCGTCGTTACTTATGTTACGTTCGTCTTGATCTCAAAATGTGCCGTTTGTGAGATCGAGATAAGCAATAAAAAAAAAAAAAGACAGCAACATCGATCGTCAGTACACTGCATTAAATTATGAAATTTAACAATAGTGCGCGGTGATCGAACAATCGAATTCGTATTTCATTGATCGCACATTCGGCACCGAGATCGTGGCAATGTATCGACGATTTCTAAATTCTATTAATCGACGAGAGATAACTCGCTACGGATACTTCATTCGCGATACAAACATATCAATTGGATGAATATCGATTAACATTTCGATAAGTAAGATTGAAGCGAGAGTATAGCAGCTAATATTATTTATATAAAAAGCATTCGCGCATGAAGGATCGATGAGACCTATTATATATCCATAGGAGTCTGAATTATCAACGACTATCAATATATGTAAGGCACTTCGCACTATATCAATCCCACTCTTATCTTAAGAAGTTAATAAGTACACGAAACTCTTCTAAAATTTTTACAAATTTGCTATTCCTTTAATTTGTTTAACAAAATAATTTATTATTCGTTTTGTCCCCTAATTCAATTTTTATCGGCCAATATCGTCAGCTTATCAGTAGCTCAGTCATTTATATCAATAATTCTCTATCTTAACGACGCACAAAATATGCGTTTCTATTTTATCAACGGAGCATTCTCCTCTTGGCAACTCCGTGAGATGCGATAGAGAAGCGAGAGTATCGCGATCGATCGAAATGCGAGAATATCTCGATCGACCGAGATTTGAAAGAGAGACAGGCTTCTCCGCGCGCTAGCGCTGCTTCTAATTAATTCGGCCCTTATGCGTCATATAACTTATGCTGTCCGACAATAATTTTTCTCGCGCGTGTCGTCGCATTCGCGAGCACATCACGAGTATCGTGCCGGCCATGATACAAATGAATCCGCAACCGACTCCTATTATTGAACTGGCCACAGAAGATCTCAGACACACTCTGTCAGCCGTAGATTCGCTGAGCCCTATAAACAAAAAATATAGATTTAGAGAGTCAACTATAGTTTTACAAAATATATTGGATAGCAAATTTTTTATTTACAATCATGAATCTTTCTGTCTAAAGTGACAGAAAGAGGTTGTACTTTAATTGTAATTGGTAAAACAAATTTAACGTTTTATCTATTTTTTTACTAGAGCATTACATGTAATTTTATATAAGAGATTATGAAATTTCGTATTTGTGCGAGCTTGACTTAACAATCATAAAATCGGCTTCGCTATCATTATATATGACAGATGAGTAAAATATTTTTTTACCGAGTGAAATTATGATAAATGCACATGATTGAGCATAATTGTTATAACAGTATAGTCATCTTTGACATAAATAGTCGCTTTACCACTGCGAAAGGCGTTCGTAGAATTCTGGAACAGTTCCGTGTCCGCTTCGCCTTCCTGCAGGACACGAAGAGATTGGAAGAGATTCACGTTCTCTGACAAACTGGTTGCCGGTGTCGTTGGTCCACCGATCATTTCCTGTGTTGATCGTTTTACCACGTTCTTCGCGTTCCTCCAGTGACAAGGTTGACTCTGAAATATAGATAAAACGATCAAGTTAAGAACATGAAACTAGAAGTCGAAACTTCAATAGAGAATAAATACGTTCTAAATAGTACAAATAAAAATCTTTTAAAGTTTAGAATTCACGATTTTCTGTTTGAAGATCGTTTTTCAAAATTTTAATTTATCAATTTTATTGAAAAAAGTAAAAAATACGAGCCCGTAAAAATAAAACAAATTAAATAATATTTTTATATACGCGATATATATTGATAAATATAATAGTCAAAATAGTTTGAAAGTAAATAATTCCGGTGTGAAATAAGTGAGTTAAAATCGATTACGTTCTATACTGTAGTATCTAATTACCGGACATCTTCCGTGGCACATGCGAACATCGCATTCGATGTATAGGGCCGGCGATCCTGTGAACCTAAAGGTCTTCATGTAAGCGAAGACTTGCGTCTCGAATAAACCACTTTCCGACCAGGAACCTCGAAACCGGCTGATTAATTTGTCATCCACTGGACATCCGTATTGATCTATCAATTGAATTCTTTTGTTTCCGCCATTATGCGCGTAGCAATCGTTCACGACGATATCAAAACCGTCTGTAAGAAATTCATGACAATAATTATTTTATTGAATAGGGTTTGTCTATAAAAAACAATAATATATAGTAAATTGTGGTACGAAATTTAGCTATTCACATAAATTGAAGTCGGCGTCGATTTGAAAAGAGATGACGTTATCTTTAATAGAACGCGATGAGTGTAATTTGTTCTGAGAGAACCGTTCTTGGAGATTTATTATAATTAAGCAAAAAGTTACGCATATATGTGTGAAGGATTAGCTTGTGAAATATGTCGTTAATAATGAAACCAATTTGTCAAAGGCGGTAGGAAGAGGATACGACGACGTGACGTTTACCTTCTGACATAGATTCGCGTGACATAAGTGATGTAGACGTAAATACAGAAGACTGACTCGTTAAAGCACAGACATCTGTCGTTACGTCAAAGTGCGCACATTTTCGTATCCTCCTCTCTACATGCGTTTCCGCATCTTTCACAAATTACTGAGCTCGGTCTGCAGCCGCGACTGACAAAGTCTCCTGCCCCTCATCTTATACCGTTATCGTATGATACCTAGGCGGAATCGGGCGTCGTATGATTAGGCCGGGCAATAGGTAGAGAATAGATGGAGGCGAGAAGAAGAAAAGATACGCGAAAATACGTAGTAGTGCTGCGAGTGATTACAAGAGAGAGAGAATGCCTCGTGTCTTAATAATAAATATAAATTATTTTCTTGGAAATTCTCTTCCCTAAATTGTTAAATTTTGAATATTAGCACTTTCTCATATTTCAAGCGATCGTAAATTATATTTACGATTGAAATTACATTAGCTAATTTTTTGAAACAATCTCAGACGATAGTAAATTTATTTACGAGATCACAAGTGCGCTGCGAGTGATTTGCAAGAGAAAAAATGCCTCGTGTTTCAATAATAAATATAAATAATTTTTTGGGGGAAATTCTCTTCCCTAAATCGTTAAATGTTGATATTAGCACTTTCTTATATTTCAAGCGATCGTAAATTATATTTACGATTGAAATTACATTAACCAATTTTTTGAAACAATCTCAGACGATAGTAAATTTATTTATGAGATCACAAGTATAAAACGTGTGATTAAAAAAATTCTCGTATACAACGAGACTTTAATTAATAAGTTAGTTGACTTGGTCTGTCAGTTTTGTTCACATTTCTGAAACCTACGTTGGTTGTTGCTTATTTGAAGCAAGATCGCACCTCTCGAGTCTAATGGGTGCTTCAGCTTTAACGATTTACACGGCAGTTACGCGGTGCGTATAGAAGCTTACCGTATTTACTGCGCATGTAGATAATGAGAGTCAAGGGATCGCCGACGCGAACTGGTCCAGCCACTCTAGTTCCAGTGGTCCCGTAACCGTATCTGATTTCCATGTAGCACTCCGGAGGCTGCAGGGTGAAGACTACGGGATTTCCCGTGGCGACCCTGGAACAAGGTGGGTGCATAGAATGCACATCCGTTATCTCGTGAACAGTACGGCCTACTTCGCACCATCGGATAGCACAGATGTTAGACATTATCGTAGATATTACGTAAATGTTCTGCGCTGGCGCGAAACCTTCCGTCGATCTCACGTAATCGGTCGGTTTAGACGGTATCACGTCAATCTCTTCGTGCGCGCTTTATGGAAATGATCCGTATCTTTAATCGATGCATCGATGGATGCATCGGTCTTTCGTATATGTACGTTTCCGCGATATATTTGAAGTTTCATCTTACCAACATTTTTGTACAACCAACGTTCTTAATCGAAAATCGATTTCTTTTCATTTAAAATTCAAAATTTAATTTGTCAAATATTTCGCGATAAAAATAATATTTAGAATGAACAAATGGAATAAAAATCGACACTTACTCGACATCAAGAAAGGGAAATGTCACCGTTTTCCAAAAGTCGTAGCCGTACTCGCAAGTGACCTTAAAATGCTCGTCAAATTCCTCCTCTATCAATGGATTGTACTGTACCGTGACCGTGTTCCACATGAGATTTTTCTGCAAAAAACAAGATTGTGAGCACGCATATGTCGCGAACACAACGTATACGTGAGTCTTATTTCTCACGTAAACCCGCCGCTGTGTAATAGCCCACGTTCCCGTTCCCCACGTACGCGACATCTAATTTTCTCTGATTATCGAGATTAAAAATGAGCTCGCCACCTCGTGCGCGCTACCAAAGACCGGGTGGATTATTTTTCCCCGGCGAGTTGTTAATCATTATTACTCCTTGTCGGGGCCGGTGCTGACGTGAGATGCGCGTTAAAATAACGATCCGTCATCCCGGGCGATGCTCACTCGCGCTCGTTTGTTTTACATACCGTCGGATTCTTCCTGCTGTCCTGATGATGAGTGTTCTCGCCGAGGGTGCCGCATCGATTCAGCTGAATGTAGAACTCGTAGTAGTCGCGGCCCGTTCCGTTAACGTACATGCAATCGGGATCGTACGAGTAGCCTGCAATTAAAAGCGATTGTTCCCGATCATCTGGAATGCGGCTACCTAATGCGATATACACGCATGTACACATACGACGGGCATCTCGGGGATGTGTCCCTTATTTATATCAACCCGATGCTTCTTCGCGGCGCGAAGCATGACTGTGCGAATTCTCGTCGCGGAGCAAAGATAGGCGGATGTTGAGGATGCATTTTTCTTTTTGTGAACAAATGGACGACGAGGAAAGAAAGGAAGAGAGGAAATATGAAGTGCGGTCGTTAGCGCCTGTGATAGGAAGTCGGAGATTAGGGTAATCTGACATTTTAGTCATCTTGCTAGATTCAATCCGATTCGGTGTCTTAAGATTGCATAAAGATGCTTCGCTCATTACGGATCGAGAAAGAATATGGATTAATAACTCGTTGTATTGATTGTTCAGAAAATTGCAAGCTAACAGAATTAATATTAAACTAGGGAAAAATTCGAGATCTCGAGCGAGGAGCCCTCTTTTCTTCGTAACTCGCGAAGAAAGATCACTTTCGCGGCAGTTTTTTTTTCCCCGATGTATTACGCGGTACGCGCTTCTTTCGAAATAACGGAAGTATCTCACCAGAACGGACAGATGGACTTACGACAGTGATGGAAAAATTCTGGCGCGCCCGATCGCTTTACGATAACTTCCACGATTATCTCGTTAGCGCAGACGTATACTCGTCTCAGTGTCTGCCGAGATAATTGCGGATGCCAGCGATGCAGTCAGTTATGCAGCCATATATTTTAGGAGCAGTATTATATCGAATGATGGAGAATCCGGTGCGAAGTACTCAGAATCGCCACTTTTTTTCACGCTACCCTACTTACGCTTAATTTACCTTGCAGTATTTACATTCTCGCGGCAGGTATATATAATTAATATTTAACTCTTAATTAATTATATCATTAAAATATACTAATTAATATTTACCTTTTCATTAATTATATCATAAATTTAAATTGTATATGTGTATGATTAGCGTGAGAATGTACTGTGCAATTACATTTGAAAAAAAAAAATGTAATACACACGGAGAGCTAAATGGAATTACAATTATAAATGATTACATAAATTTTACGATTATAATTTTACCTGCTGAATATAAGAGGCCGGCGAAAGATCCGTTGAATCCAATTCTGATTTTCATGTAGTCATCTTGACATTCCGCCTCGATATCTGCAAATATAATATGATTACAAATTTATTTAAATTTATTAATCTATGTACTCACACATATTTCTACATTTTATTGTATACATATTTAATACTGATTAATCTAAGAATTTGATTATGACCGCGATGCGAGTACAATATATCTCAGTATGTGCTCAGTATTCGCCAGAGTATTTCAACAAACTCTATCGGAAAAGGTAACCAAAGAAGACCTACATCAGGTACATTGTTGATCCATCAGCGCGATGAACTCTCTGTCTACATCTTCTTGTATTTACGAAACAGAGAAGGTCTAGGTGGAATCTTTGAATGTCGAAAGAGGAATGGGGAAAATTGCGTATCCGATTATACGAACTAGCGGAAAAAATTTACGCCTCACCTATCGCTCAATCTACATTCATAAGAATCGACTTTCACAAATATAGTAACTTAACATAAACAATTAAAAAAAGAATATATAGGCTATAATAATCTTATGTAAATTACATGATTAAAAATTTAAAACAATGATCATCATTGATTTGTAATAGGGAATTGATTATATTTAAAGAAACACAAGTGGCAATTCCCTCTAAGTTGTAAAAACAGCTCTCTCAAACGAGAAGAGTTTTCAGGAGAACGTTATCGTATCCAATCGAGTCCGGTTATTGCCACTTGAAGACGAGTCGGATGAGACGAGCAAATATCGGCGAAACACCTCGATTGATCGTCGTTTGTGGGAGTGAATGCAGTCGCGGCCGGAAGATCCTGTCGTCACTCGCGTGTCGAAACCGGGCGCGGAAAATCATAGATTCGCGGATAGAGGAACGAGTGGAAAACCGGTCGTCGATGACGAGTGAAAGTAAGTTGGTATAGGCGCTCTTCGTGTAAGAAGCCGTTTCCACTGCAACAACGTAACTCGCCGCCGCGGCTGCAAAGCGGAATGGAGATTGATGGAGGATGGAGATAGTTACAGTCGAGGTGTCTACCGATGATACAACCTTTTCATTCCGTGACCCACGCTCGTCCCACGCACATCCTCGCATGACACATTTGATTAGGCATATTTGTTATTAATTAGAAATACATCGACTGGATCGTAAAATTAATGAATCAGATTAATTCCAGGGTGTCTAGCGGTCAGGAAAATCTGGGCATTGTCAGAGAATTTTATAAATCTGGAATTGCCAGGGAAAAATCAGGAAATTTTCCATTTATCTGGATTTTTTACACATTATTCTACATTTGTCTCAAAATAAATATAAACTATTCTATTGACTCCCAGCACGCTCATTTTCTGTGTTGTTAAAAATCGATTCATCTACAGCGTGTTCGTTAATTTATATTTTCATCGTCGTGTTATTTTATTTCAATGTGTTTGATAGAGACAAAACTAAAAAATTTGATATAATATAAATAAAAATAATGATTATTTAAATAGTTTATAGTGACATGTTTGTTTCGATTATCGCACGTAATGCAGATTATATAATTGATTTAAATTTTTGTTTTAACTTCCGAACCTTTTCATTGTTGACAAAAATATCTTTTCATGCTTTAACATTTAATTGATTTATTATATAGATATATGCAAATTATTTTTTGGAAAAAATAATACTAAAAAATCAGGGAATTTTTTTCATTGAGTCTGCTGAATACCCTGTCTTTTTTAAAATCGAATGACAGGTAAAATTCTTATAGCGATTGAGGCTATCCGGATATTGTGTAAATTATTAATTTATTCAAAAATTATCGAGTTTGTCTCGATATTCGATTAGATAAATAATAAACTCGAAGATCAGTGGGAGCGCGCTCGCGCGATGAATCAAAATGAAAAAAAAAGGAAAAAATAATAATAAAACGGAGATAGAGATTCTCCAGAGATAGTTACACCGGAGGCACATGCCGATGATACAACCGTTCCGTTTCACCTTCTTCCTACGCCTCGCGTACGTGCGCGAGTGTGCCGAGCGCATTTTCGAGCGGCGCACGTACGTATACGCACGCTTATTAGAATTGCGGATACGTGCTTTGTGTTCATCGTCCGGCAAAACGTCAGTGGGCAGACAATGGGAAGAGTTGAGCAACGCCGATATTTGCTCGAACGTGCCGAGAGCGGTCACGGAGAGACGCGGAGGATATTGTCGGGTTCCTTTTAAGGTACCCCATGCTACGTTTGCACCATAAAAATCGAGGTCTTTTAAATTTATGAAAACACTATGCTTTATTTTTCAGCATTCAGTGTACATATTCTCTCAGACTCGACTACGTGATTTTTGACGTTCGGTCTTTCATTGGATTTCTCATCTTCAAAAAAATGTGTATTCGTTAATCTAAAAAATCAAACCGATCGCAATTTCGGATGCGCGGTGGAAAACGTGGATCTGAATAGGAGGAAGCGGGAGAAAAAGGAATAGCGAAATGGACCTCGAGGACGTATATACGAGAATCGAGCGTTACCGAGGAGGATACATTAAACCTAATGAGGCCTCTTTCGCGTAATTGACGATACCGCGGGTGGCCTCAAGTTCCCGCAGCGAGCAAGCGGCTCGACTTTACGACTTCATTGAACCAGCGAGATTTATACGCCGGGGCGTAACATTCATCATTGCCAATGGCAAGCTCGTCTAAATGTTTTAGGAAATTTGCCGTAGCAACGCGATCGTCGATCGTCCCGTCGTCTCGAAGGGTCCATCGATCTTTTTCGAAAATAGCACTCGGATGATTGTACGGTCGATTTTTCTTATGAAACATATGCCCGTCGAATGATTTATCAGGGTGAAGTAGAGCGAGGTAGATTTATGTCGAACACTTATAACTCAATCCTTTCTCGCTGCCTAAACTTTATGAAAGGATATATGTACATACACCACTGTCTTGCAATGAAAGAAAAAAGCGTGAATCTGCAATATCTCTTATATAAGTTTATGTAATAGGATTTACGTAATAGAATTTTGGAATCATAATTTTACGATGCTGATTTTAATTATATACATCGAGAGTTCAACGAATATAATAGATGATCGTATCTTCATCCCGTGGATAATATGTATCGGTGAAGCAAATTGGCGTATAATGATTCAGTTAAGAAACACGAAACGATTAATTGTCGATGGCAAAAATGTAATGAGTGGATGCTTCGTTCTGGTTGAATAAGCGTGGGGAGAATGATGCGTCGTTAAGGTATTTTTCTCACATTGCGATTTCCAATATGGTCGTATAATTTTCCGCAAAACGCAATTAAAAGAGATCCGCAAAGAGGGAGGCTTGATAGCGATACCATTCTCTCTATCCAGTAAGTATTATTTATTTGCATTATTACGGAAGACACGCTATAATTTTCTCTGGGAATATCAGGTAATGAGACCTGCTTGATTACTCGCCGAAGACTGTATAAGTATTCAGATTTATTCGCAATAAACTTTTTTAAGTCCCAGAAAAAATATCGCATCGTGGAAAAGCGTAAGAAAAATGCGCGTTACTATATAGGAAATTCATTTTATTTTCACAGAACATTGTCCATATTCTTTTATAACGGAATACCACGTCGTGCGATTAATGTCTTGTTCCACTGGCATTAATTACGCGCGCGTTACACGAGATTAAGACCGAAGCATCAACCGATTTAACGAGACGTCATTGATTATGTTCTTCGCTATCGTAAGGTCGCTTCCGTCCGAGGCATCTAATCGATTGCATAAAATTTTCCTCGCAAAGTCACGAAATGAAATTCCGAGCGGCGAAAGTCGTAATCTTGTAAATTTGTTCTTTCTCTCCACAAACGCGATTTAATAACGTTTTTAGCGCAGTAAGATCGCAAGTTAATTATAAGCAGTACAGAAAATCTTAAACACATTCGAGATGACGGTGAGATCATTCCGAGATTTTTCTCGCGGACTCTCTCGACGACATAACTTCACGTCATCGTGATCGGGAAGGTAAAAAAGTCGCGTAACGGCCGCTCATGAACATCATTTTCATCGCGACGCGTCGCAATCTTCTCGCCGGAAAAAGCCGGCGATGCCAGAAACGAGCCGTCGTCGATTAGGTACCGGCGCTATAACGTATACGCGTTCTATATCTGCTCGAGTTTCCACGAGGCAATCGCGATCCCGAGATGCGGATATAATGATGATCGCGCCGGGATGATGATGACGTTGCACCGCGGCGGGACGACGATGAGATGATCGGAGATGGGCATATCGGGAGGTCTATACCTTTACGTAGAGGAAGGTGGTGTACTCTCGATGTCAGGAGCGTCGTACGACTTTCCGACACCGTTTTAATTGCCTCCTCTCTAACGGTAGCCATCGCACTCTGAATTCTCGCGGCGCGCTGGCTATACTATAGGACGGACTCTCTATATCGTGGAACACGTTCGCGATTCTTCTAAATCGATCGAGCGAGACACCGCACCGGCGGGATAAGCGCTTATTTCGCCTTGCATCGCCTTGTTCGCGTCGAGTTTCGGCCTTCTTGCAACGGGCAACGGGCGGAAAAATAACGGATCGACATGCTAAAGCGACGACCATACTGGTCGGCCTTTCTCGAGAGGCACACTGACCCACCGGACCGGATATGTTTTGTCGGCGCTTTTGCATTCGAATATAGCGGACCCTTCCTTTCTCCACCTCTTCCGGACTGTGCCGGTCCATTCGTTCGAGCATTCTATTGCTCTAAATACGTTTCCCAAGAAATTCGTTCTACTTTGATGCGCGAGAAGGTAATAATGTAATCACGAATGAAATTGAATCGACAATCCACTATCGGGCAGAGATAGAGATTTCTGTTATTGGTTCTAGATTGACGTAATCAATACCCGTTCATATCATATTTCCGCTGAATTAGCGGTCTGTGATGCGAGCTGCCATTAAATCTATACTTTCAAAGCAGGAAATTTCTATTAGCTCGGAAGATTGTACAGCTTGAAGAGAGTAATTTCCTTTAGTATCTCCACCCCTAATTTCATATTTAGTTTACTTTACTGAAAAAGCGTGCAAACAGACCGTCGAGAGTATTAATTACGCCTGCGCAATTTATCGAGGATCGTTTATCTTAATGTTATCACATCGAGTTCGTCTATGAAAATAATCAAGAATAATTCATCGAGAAAATGAGGAAGACGTTTTTATTTATATACTTACGTTGCACTCGCGTCGTATTGGGTCTGTATCTTCGGTGTTCGCGATCCCAGGTCTCTGGGTGTCTCCTCCAGTCCTCATCACCGACTACATCTGTACCTCCTCCTCCTGCAGAGAGCCCTTGCAGACCTTGAAGAGTTTGAAGGGCTTGGAGATTCGGATTCGCGGGTCGAGTCTTTAACGATGGAATTGGCACATAAGCGCTGCCATCGCCAACATACACGACCTTTCGAGAAAATAAAAAAAACAGTACTTTAATATTTAAATACTAATAATATCACAAATGCATATTAGATAGTTGATATTTATGTGTCGTAAATGTAATGTGTTGGTTTTTTAATCATTCAATTAACCGTCAGAGTAATTCAAGAATTAATATCAGCGAGTTTATTAATATATTTATATATTAAATTGTTAAAATTTTGTGACTTTGTTCAAATTTGAAGCAAACATTTAAAATTTGCTCATGCTAAGCAATTACAAAAAAATGGCTACACATACTAACGTTATACGTGTTATAGATCGAATGATAAAATTGTGATCAAAATAAAAGTAAATTTTATTCAATACAAGAATATTGCAAGAACATTTATTTATCGAATTATATATTTCACGTAATATATTCATTTGAAATAAAAATCGAAAATGAGGATCTAAAAATTGTGTGATAAGTACATATATTAATAATTATGTTCATAAATATCATTATAGTAAAAAAAAAAAAAATATATATATATATATATATATTTTGTATTTAAAATTTTCTGAAGTATACAGGGTGGCCACTTTTGATGGGACACCCTGTATATAATTTGACTATCATTTTTGCCATTGAAAGCATAGATTAAAACAAGGATTATAAAATCAAATAATGAAAGGTGTAATACATTAATCATTTAATAATAATAAAAGCATATCTTTCGGAATTTATATACGTTCGAAATTATATATTATACGTGCGACATAATACATATATATATGTCGTAGCGGTAACGCAATTATTACATATATTCGTTTTTCGCGCGCTGTTGTTTACGTCATTACGTAGGTCGCAGGTCGCAAGGTCGCACTGTCATTCGCGCGGCGACACTCGAGCCGATAGGACACTGGAAGGTACTGATATGCTTAGATTTTAAATAATATAAAATATTTGAATAATGTAAAATATGTGTTTAAACAAACCATTGACGTGCAAATAATTTAGTTTTTACCGTCTGGTTTTACACATATTAATATACAAAGTTTGATACGAATGTATTTATATATACTATTAATCGCGTTGCAATGTAACCAAGGTTATTAGGTCAAGTGCGCGACGTGTAGTTTCATGGGATTTATACGTATACTCGAAATTGCAACACGATATTTTCTGATGATATATGTGTAATATATATTTATTTTCAATATAATAATAATAATTTAATTCTTGTTTATTACAGGTCACGACCAATGGCGCGAAATTATCCGTGTAATTTTCGAAATACCGGTTATAACTTTGTGTCGTGTTTCCGTCATAAAATAATAAAATGTGCGTCGCGATTAACATCGGGAGTGCAAAGTGTCGCGCGATTATCGTATTTTCCTAATTAATACGCGCGTGATAGTTAACCGTTTTCGCGAGTATATATATGTATATGTGAGTGTCGCGTGAAGAAGCTGCAAAAGAGACGACCAAGAGAGAAAAGAGGGTAACGACAGAGCACAACCGTGAGGTGAGAAAATTATAACCTACTTAATTTATTACTCATAAAATTAATCACCCGTTTATCTTCGCATGATTCGCTTTACATTATTCCGTGATACGATGCATATTACAAAGTCTTCTAGAAATTGTATTTTAAAATTTTTACAACAAACTATCTTTACAATAATTCTTTAATTAAATATTTTTCTTCAAAATTATTTTTTTTAATATTAATGTATTTGGACATTTTATTTTATATTAAATGTAATTATATATATATATATATTTTTACAGAACGCTGCGAATACTACAACTCTGCCGCTTCGCATCGTATCGGTGAGTGGTAAATTGTTTTTTTTTTATTAATCTCGACATAATGTTGAGAGAAGAGAGAGCAAGAAAGAGGATAAACAAAATTGCAAAAATTAGGTTAATATATACATACAAAATATTGATACAAGATACATCATATTTAAAAAGAACCAAGGGAAGAATGAAACCCGATAATTTGCATTGATGTTCAAGTATGATCATCATCGGCATAAAAAACATAGAAAACAATTTTGACGGGCTTGCATATAATCAAGCGAGATTTGATCGCAATTTTCACGCTAATAATCGGCCACCCGCGCTAAATTGCCGCTACTAACGATATTCATACGGGAGTTCGAAAAATGAACACGAGGAATCCGCTAACGAGTCGCAGGTAGTGATTTGCTGGTTCAAAGCCGTTAGTCCGCGGCAAAATATTCCCGCGTACCTACACACTTCCCGCTATGCAAAATCATCCCGTCGAGCGGGAGCCCTGACCTCTCCTACGTTAACGATCCGGTTTAACCCTCAACCCGTATGCGCGCGGATCCGCTACCGCGCGAGAGAAGCGGTGAGAAAGGGCGAGAAGCTGCGTCGAGGGTCGAGACCGCGACGAAGAGGAGAAATAGGAGAATCTCCGAAGAGGCGGAAAGGTACGCGCGCGAAGAAGCCGATGGACGAGGAAGTCCGAGGAACGGACGGCACGCGTGACTAACGCTTTACGAGCTCTCTCGGCAAAGCGTGGGTACCTCGAGGTCGTTCGTTCGCGTATACGGGTGCCGCGTGGAAGAAGAGGAGCAAGAAGCGACGAGGAACAAGGGAAGGATTGCGCTTCGAACCGCTTGTCAGCGAGGACGACGCGAGCCTGGCGGCTTACTCGAACGAATTGGCCGTGAAGAGAAGACGCGGACGAGCACGTGGTTATATAGTGATAGAAAAGGCGCGAAATGCGTAGAAAAAGTCGCGAACGCAACCTCCATATGCCGTGACGAAGAAAAAGCTCCGTTTCGTTCCGGCCGCCTCCTCGTTTCCCTCTTCCACATTTTTTTTTCTTCCCTCTTCCTGTTCTATCTTTTCTCTTTCCGCGAACTTGACATTTGATGCGATAGATTGCCACGGGGAAATTATACCCTTTCTATTCCAACGTGTTTTCGTGAAATTTTTCCAAGTCTCTCGGAATGAATCCCGATGCAATCACGCGCATTGACTTTTATTGATTAATCAGGAATTTGAGAAAATTACTTCGTAATTGCGCTTTGCGAGGGAGGTCGTTCTTTTAACGAGAAACTCTCGGTGTCCCCGCTATTGTACATTTCGCGAGAATCGACCGGCGCGGTGGTCTTTGCATCTTCCGTAGTCAATCTCATTGGAATGCATTACGGAGGAGATTACCTAATGCGAACGATAAGTACTGATTACCTTCGACTCTCGCTATGCTTAACCATTCGATACTTAACTGTACTAGACGGTAGGAAATGCAATAAACGCGAAATGTTCCTTTACTACGATGAGTGCGCAGTCGAATCGTTCTCATCGGGGCTTTCTTCGCACGACGACGTCTTCCTCTTCCAAGAACTTATCGGTTTCATCTCTCGATAAATCTATTTCCGAGAAATTTGTCGAAAATTATCAGAGCCAAATTGCTAGAGAAGCGATTCGAGGAAATATTAGTAAGCATCCGGCAGTGCGAATGCAATTCGACGCAAGATTTCTGTGCGTTTTATAGAGCAATAAGAACAATTCCTTTAATAATCGTCAACATCCGCGACATTAGCTCTCGTTTCTTCGAAGAAGAAATACATACTAAGTAACCGTTTAGGCTTTCACGTTTTCTTACGTCCCTAGAAGATGATGCCGACAGACGAGGTTTCTTTTAGAGTGAATGTTCATTTCTTTCGAGGACTTGGTTCGATCAAGTCACACCGAGATATGCACATTCACGCTATGATTAACGGTTGCGCGATTACAGTGTCGAAAGTCATTAGTCGAGTAAGATCGCTCGAGAATGGCTCAGATAACTCGGACGGCTTATCTCATTTCTAGAATACGAGATTGCGAGAGTGTGTTCAAATTATCTGTTGGCTCGAATTTTATGCGAAAAACAATTAATTACATACAATTATAAATATTTAATTTTCCAGTGTAGGCGCCGCGATATTATATATAAATTCCGAATTTTTTGCTATTTTTAATGATCAAATATAACAGAGTAAAAAAAAAATGTCCGCGGAAAATCATGATTTGCGATCGTCAGCTAATGATTTTCGCAGCTTCTGCAACAAGATTTATCTGTTAAATTTTACAGAAGATTTTTCATTTTATAATATAAGTAAGGATGATCAAATCTAAAATTAATATTTTTAGTTAATTTTTACATTAGAACAATGTTTATTTTACACAAAATTTATTTTAAAATATTTGAAGTTTTGCATTTACTTTGTGTTAAAATATTTATGTCCCCATTTAACATATCCATATTATGTTAAATTAACACCATATGTTAAATTAGCACAAAAAATTCTGTGGACCATTGAGGTGACATGTGATATCTGTTAAATTTGACACAAATTTTTCAACTGTGTATTCCTCGTAAAAGTGTAAAAAATAAATACGTTAAAAATCGAGGTAGAGAAAGAGGGAGAGAGTCACTAACAATAAAACGTACACACGCAGCTTCTGCGAAAATCATTAGCTTGTCTCTTTGCCTCGACGGGGCGATTTAGAATTTTGCGCCCTACAGCGCTCATTTCCCGATCGATCTATGCTTTCTCACTCGGAATGAACGGAAACGGCAGCACATAGATGAAACTGATCTTGTCTCCGGTTTCATAGCGGAACGCTCGTAAGCCGAGTAAACCGCTTCTGGAGTTCTCGCGCCGGTTAATGGGGCCTTTCGCCGCGGAGAGAATCACGCGGCGCAAGAAGCGATCCATCCGCTCGCAATTTGCGATATAACGAAGGTCGCGCACGGACGTGGCCGCGATACCCTTTCCTCTCTATTCTATTGGAAACTGGTTCACATTTTTTCGCGATCGGAATCGATTCCTCTCGCGAAACTAGTTTAAAAGCAATCCGGAGATCATCGATAAACGGCGATTAATCAAGGAGAAATGGCCTTTATATATCCTCCCTATGCAACCTTTTGCCCTTTGTTTAGAAAAGGTCATTTTGCCACGAGGAAAGATTGCCAGGGGTTATATAGCGAGCGCGCTCAATAATTGATTTTCGTTGCAAACGAATCTTTCACTTGGCTGATATACGAAGACAAGCAAGCCCGGGTAGGATTTTTCTGTCTGATCGAGGACGATCTCGAGGCGTCGTCTTTACTGCGGTCAACTGTCGGGATTCTCTCTCTCTCTCTTTCTCTTTGAATTTTATTTTCTTTATCCTCTTGAATATCATAGCGGATGCAGAACACCTGCAGGTTGCTTCTCGGCCTTGCGCGAAGCATTCGCTAACGAGGAATTACGCGAAACTAAACAGATGTGCGAGTATCATTCCACGTTTCCTTTTTTTCCCCACTCCCTTCGTTCGCTCTTTGATTTTTTATTTTAATCTTCCTTCTTGAGAAAACCGTTTCTCCAATTAACTATAACTGGACAGATCGTACGGCAGGTGCGCGTACGTCTTTTCCTCTTCTCTCACTTTCTTATTTGTTTTCGCAATTTACTGGAAGTCAGAAATCTGTTGGGTCTGCAAAGGATCCCTGAGAACTTTTACTAGCTTTCGCTTTCGGTGATTTAATAATAACGTGTGTCAAGTAAAAGTGCGATATGTATTTTTGCCTTGGCGTAATTTTAAATTTCGCAATATAAATCATTTTTTTAAAATCATGTAAAGTGTCTGAAAATTCTCTGTTATACTTTATACTCAATATTGCTTGCAATATATATATATATATATATATATATATATTATATATTTTACTGATTTGATTAATGAAAATAAGATGTGTCATAAGAAATTTGCCCCCCATAATAGAATATTATATATATATATATCTATATATATATATATATATATATTTATTATGGGGGGCAAATTTCTTATGACACATCTTATTTTCATTAATCAAATCAGTAAAACGAGAGAAAGAGACAAAGAGAAGGAGCGAAAAATAAGGATAACGGAACAAAGAAATAACTGATCGGAGAGAAACTTCTTGCGCAATGTCTACCATGAATTTCAATAAGTAAATGCGCAAGGCGAAACAAATTGGCGATGCGTGACTTACAGTATCGTGGTCGCTGGCCTCGTGAGTTAACGCTTCTCTGGTTTCGTTATGAGGGGAATCATCCTCATCGGGTCCCGATCCGCTACTCGCCCAATAATCCTCGGTCGCGTCGTCGATAACAGAATCTTCCGAGTTCCCGTCCACCTCCGTGTTTTCGTGATTGGTAGCCTTTGAGACAAAATCGTCCCGGATTAAAAAATGTACACCTGCTCGCGTATCATCGTACATACGCAATTGCGAGATACTTACCTGACACCTTGTCGTGACCACCGTCAGCATCCAAATGGCGATATATCTGTAACAATAGATTATAAAATTATGTAAAATGTAAAGGATTGATTTAAAAATATGGAAAGCACGAAATTTCCAAACTCGTGTTGCGAAATGTTGAAAAAAGAATATATATATTTAAAGACTCTCTCTCTTTTGCATAAAAAAATTTTCCAATTTATATTAATTAAAAGATTATTCGCGAAATATAATTTAAAATATAAATGAAAAGTTATCAATACACTGGTATGGCGACCAAGGACGATCATGGAGGCCGTTACATAGAGAAAAGTGCTTCGTTACGACAGTAACGGAAATCTCCGCGAAACGATGAACGAGCGAGACAAGACAAGGAATGAAACGTGACTGGAAACGTGACTAAGAAGGTAAGAAAAAGGACGAGAGAGACTCTCTCGGATCTCGCACGCGGTATGGGAACCCCGAAATGACACGGATCGCAATGTACATTACGCATAATGTCGGTGTAATAAGAGTATACACATAATGTCGGTGTAATAAGAGTATCGCGGACCAGCCACGGTCTTCTTATTTCTAAGTCTTCTCTTCCTTCTTCGCGGCTTGTGCCACGATCTAGGATGTGACTCATCTCTCGTTGCTGCTGCAGCCTTCAGTGCGGCTTCGCCTTCTACCTTCTATTTCCACGTGAACCTCGAATGAGTTTCTTGCCTCCGCATTTACTTACCGTTTACGGACCTTTTAGGTCCATTCGCACGCTCGGTGACCCCACGTCGGAATAATTCGTATTTAGTTTTTATTAATTTTTTTACTAGAACGTCTAATTGGTGATAATTTTATATTTTCGATCGTTTCTAGTTCGGAGGGGTTCATTTATGGCTTAAAATACTAAGAATTTTTACGCAGAGATGCCTATGTGACGTATAAGCATTTTGCATTTTTGACAGATAAATTATTCTTTGTATTAAAATTATTGTTCAATTTTATTATATGTATAATAATCCTGCATTTAATAAGCCATTTTTTTTCTAACCACACAAAAGAGCTTAAATCAATATATAATTTAATTTTCGCCGTGATTAAATCCGTAAAATGTTTCCATGTCCCAGATTAAGGAATTAAGATTTCGTCGAAACGTTTCGTGCATACTGAGCAGCGAGAATTTAAACACGCAACACATGTCAAGTAAATCCTTCACGTCTAGACTCCTTTATAATTGTAGACTATATTGTTCTACTATTTTTAAGACAATAGAAATTATCTACTTTTATAATCACGGTCATGTTGCAACAATGATAATTGCTATGAGCAGTCAGTCGTCGTTATCAGTACAGCTTAATCGTCCTCTCTTTTGCGATTTTCCCGGGGTCGCGGGAATCAGCTGACCGTAGTTTTCCGAGACGTTATCGCTGGAAATTTTAAACGCGTATTACTTGCGTTATGAGGCGCTCGAGTGAACAAACGTCGTTTCATCTCAGCAGTTGAGCAGTCATTTGAAAAAAAAAAAAAAAAACGAAATGCTTTTAGCATACTAGATGATGGAATCGTCTACATCAGGTCGCGGAGCCGGTGCATTTCGAGAGATAAAATAATAACATAGTCGAATCACGACGATACTGTGGCATAATTTACATCGTCTCTAGCCAAGGAAATAACAAAATTAATATAGATAAAATAAAAATTAATAGACGCGGTACACTGGTTAATAATTCCAATCTTATTATTAGCTACGCTCAAAATTAGCAAGCGTTGCTCGAAGAACCGTTAGTAAATATAATCTAACATCTAATTTAGAATATGTTTGTTATAAAATACTTTTTGCTACACGTGCATACTGATGTAATATCTATAAATCTTATTTAAGAGTAATCGTAATGCGTGCGATCCCATTATTTTCACATTATGGCAAAAGACCGAATTTAAGAAGAAATGAAAAGATATATACGTTTGCATCGCTCAAGCGATTAAACGATAATTATCACCGCGTAACGGTTTATATCGCCAATTCGTCTTCATCCGCAATATGTTAGACGATGACAAGGATGATACGTTGATAGTCGTTCTAGAGAATGTTGCACACATAAGATGATTATAAATACGACGTAGACATACAGGAATAAAGGAGAAATTTATCTTACCCTACGCGCAACGGAATTCGAGTCATCGCGATTACATCGGTTGTCAACTAGATGAGCGGATAATCATAATTACAATAATTAATTTATCGCTCTTGCTAAGGAGTGGGGAAAGGGCCAATTAACGTCAGGCAATGATCGCGACGACTTATTGCCATTTCGTCTTTCGCAACGTGACGGCATTTCTCGCGATTGCGGAAATTATCCGATTTCGCTCGCTGTTTCTCACACTTTACGAGTGTAATCGCTTAATGGAGGGTCGTCGTTTCGTGATTTACGAGACATTTCTGCGCCACGTGGAAAGCAGCTGCATACATAAATGTTCAGATGCTCGTGTAGCAGTTTTCGATTTAATTACCCACGTAAATTCATCTCGAACGCGAGAAAATTCCAACGGGAAATTGAAGATTAAGTCTTCTGCATATATAATTATCTGCATCATTACACGGATAAAATCAGATGCATTCGTTCGTTTCTTTGTCCCCTTAAAATCATTCAAAAATCTATACGAGTAATCTTCCGATTAATAAAAAGAAAAAATCATTTTTATTCAGCAAGCAAAAGAAAAAAAAAGACACGATAGAGTGAATCATCTATAACACAATCTTCCCGAATCAATCATTCGCCGACGCGATTATATTCCGCGATACAGTTAAAGCGTGATTCGCGCCGGCGCAACATCGAAGGCACACCGCAACTTCTCATTCACAATGTTTGTGAGCTCGCGTTACAGAAACAATAATCAATAATCCCATCCCGCTGATACACATCGTTTCGCGGCGTGGCGTTTCCCACATCGCCCATCTGTTTGTCTCGTAGAGTGACGTGAAGAAGAATCGCGGAGAGGAAGATCGCGTCCCGTCCGCATATACGTACGTACAGGGATATCGCGTGCGGAATTAATTACCGTCGCCTCTCGCATTGGCATCGGATCGATAATTTCGCCAACGTCCCGCGGCGAGGCATTCGCGAGCCGCTTGATATAATTATTATTCGCCGTCGCGCAGTCGTCGGTAAATGGAACGGAAGGTGTTAGGCGTGGGATGCGCTCGACCAACGGATCGCGCTACGCGATGATGATGGCCGTTAATCACGTGGCGCCGTGCGGGATTCATAGATGCGAGAGGAGAGATAGAGCCGAGACTTCTTCTCTTCGGAGCGAAGCCGACGTGTGGGCGGCGCGGTTTACCGCTGTACCATATCGTAGATTACCGTATACATGCGCACGTACACAGACAAATACGCACATGTATATACCCGCAATTTATGCACTGTAAGGACGACGATTGGCCTGAACGATACCGACGCGTGCAATTAAACTGTCATCCGATTTTTGTCCCACGCGCGTTACGCAAAGTAATGTCAGTATCTATGAATGGCGTTTTGCCGCGAAAGACTTTTCCATCTTTCGGAGCCACTTTTTTGTCGGATAACTGATATAGAAATTTGCTTGACTTGGTGTATAATTAAATCGCGCATCCCTATTTTCTCGGTAGATATATATATATATCGCTTATTTATTTATAATAAACGAGTGCGAAAAATAGAATAAAATGTTTCTTCGATGAAACGTTCAATTAAAATCGATAAACATGATTCTTGAAAAACTAAAATATTTTAATAACAGAAATGTAACGGTAACAGAACATTATAACGCGATATCAAATAATATAATCAGGAAACGCAATTCATTTTATATGAATATGCGAGCAACGAGGCGTAAATCGCCCGTGGCACACAATTAAGATGCTTTGAAATTCTATTTTTTTTTATAAATTTCTTTTAATAGCGATCTTTCTCGATTAATGCGCTGAATGCGCTGGAATTATATATTCCGTTTTTCACTAAATGCAGTTAGAATTATTGCTGTGAACCCTCGAACGGTTCAACGTGTAACATGTGCATATAATGGGAGAAACAAAACTCTCTGGCGAACGTATGCGTTTGCAAATATTTATAGATTGCACGTGTTTGTGTTCCGCGTGAAAAAGCCAACGCGGTTTGCGCGCATCAATCATTCTCGCGCGAAGCACAATTTGCCTCACGTGCAATACGGTATCGCGAAATGAAGTCGACGATCGCCTCTGGTCTTGCGGATAAAACGGAAATACTTATAGATTTTCAAAAGATTATATCCCGCGCACGACCGATGTGTCGGCCGGCTCTCGGGCTGAGCCCATCAACGATTCAACCTCTGTGTTATTGCATCGAAAGGAAATAAAAGACGCACCACCACCGTATCATGAGATATCGCAATTTAAGCTCACTCCCTAAGTATATACGCGAGGCTGCAAGTCACGCGCGAACGAAACTCATGTATCAATCGAACCCAAGTCGAACAGAATCCATCATCCGACGAATTGATACCGATTATGACTTTCGACGAGTTTAATTTTTAATATCGAGGATTGCGTCTCTTATCGCACTTAATATACTATTGTTACGAATGTTTGAGAGACGCGATAAAAAAATTTACATTAAATTACGTGGGAAAACTCTAGGATGTCTCTAACAGCACGCACCCCAAAAGACGTTCAAAGAATATTCAGAAGACATTCAGAAGATGTTCGATGTCCTCTGGTTATCTTCTAAACATTTTTCAAATATGTTGCGTTGTTAAAGTTATGGTGTTTTTCGTTTGCCTAGCTTGCTTCTGGATTCTCATAAAGTCATCTTCTTCGCGTACTGAGTCTCGCATTCATTTAGTTGTCAATTGTCCGATAATATACCATAATTGCTGTCGGGTTGATATTTTTGCGGAGCCTTACTCGACGAAGTCGACACGCACTTTGCCGCTGTCGGTTCGGTCGGAGAATTATGTCGTTGGGAAGTGAAATGAACCGAGCACGAGATACCCGCGAGGATCTCCACCTGATTCTCCGCTACGTCGCATCGCCGCATCGTCTT